AAAAAAAAAAAAAAAAAAAAAAAAAAAGCATCAGAACAGTTAACATTACAACAGAAAAAAGCAAAGAAAATGAATAAATAAAGCCAAAAAATAAATCTTCATTTTAAAAAAATTTTGTTGCAAAACCCTGTTAGTTACATTTCTGAAAAATTAGGTCGTCCAACAGATTCAGACGAACCGATCCTGAAGTGCCGTCCTGCTCACAAATCAAGACAATAAAAACTAACCTGCAAGCAACAGAAAATTTGAAGAAAGAAGCATTTTTTTAACAGAAGACTTTCAAAATTGCTGTTTCTTCGCCCGTTAGCACCGTGGAAAATTTGTAGCAAAATGTTAAAAACTTGTGAAGATTCACTACTGCAGATACTTCAATTCCTATGTGCATAAAAAATATATGCATAAAAATGATTACCTGCTAGCTGATTTGATAATGCAGATATATTTGACGACTTTTGATTGTTTATAAAATAATCATCCGAACGCATTTGTTTCAATCTTAAATAGGCAAGAACTGCAGCGATTAGCAAAAGGTAGAAACAGTGACAATAATAACAAATGCGCATTCCGTTACAAAATAGAAAAAAATTCGAGTGAAGTAGTGAAGAAAGTCGCTTGAACAGTTATAAATATTCACCTTTTAAAAAACAGTTTTTCAGCGTAAGCGTATAACTGTAAATCCAATTCATTTCGTTTTCGAATTAAGCGCATCTGGTGTTCAGTTATTACTGTATCGTTGGATTTACTTTTTTGCCACTCAGAAAGATCTCTTGTAAATCTAAAAAAAAGGCATTCCATCACTTTGTAATCCAAAAAATACAACCTCCCTGGAGTAGTTTTGGCCGTCTAAAAAACCTACATATGCGCAACAACCTTTGTGTAAAATATGAAATATTTTTTTTTAACGATACATAAATAATAGAAAACCATTTTCAAAAATGTAACTGCAACGAAAAGCCATATGCAAAAAAGAATAAATCAAGCTATTAAGCTTACTTTAGTTGGAATAATTGTTCAAACATCCATTGACTTTCGCTCATATGTTCCTTTAAGCCAAAAAATGCAAAATTTTTTAGATTATTTTTTGCACTTTCCAACATAATCTTATCCCTTGTTGCTGGATCCATAGAGTGCAAATCGTAACAGTGTACTAATGTCAGATCCGCCAACATTCGTGTTTGTCTAGACACACAAAAATCCAAATTTTCAACTAGCTATTAGTCTGATACCGCAAAAAGGAATAAGAAAAGCAAAAAAACCTGTTGAAAGCAAGATTGAATGGACATGCTAGAAAGTCGTCTAAAGAAACTCCATCCCAACCAACGTCTGGATCGAAACACATCGGAAGTTGCTCAGGACTTGGCGGACGACCATTACATACATGCCGATCACCAAGCCATGTAGCTCCACGTTCAACGTGCCGATATTCAGAAATAAACCGAGATACTGGCTCCCGTAAAAAGGTTGTGTAGAAGTAACGTCGTTTTCTATGAAGACCTAATCAAAAATGGGATCTAGGTTAATGAACAGTTTCTTGTAAGTGGAAATAAACAGCTGTTGAAGAATCACGACAAATGAATGATAAATCGACAAAGATAAATATTGCCTTCTTTCCTGTCCAGCGCATTATCAACGCAACCAGACACGTACAGTTCAGTAAAATCGGCATGTAAACCACATATCCATCCAGTAGAAAATCTTGAAAATAGCCAAATCTATAAAATGACAAAAACCACTTTTGCATAAAACGGTACCTTTACTGAATTCATTAATACAGAAAAATAACTATTGGCATTCTCGACTGGAAGTTTTGAGCGCCTTTTAGTATTCAGCAATGTAAACCTCGTAACAAGAAAGTATTTCCTCAGACATCAAAAGAATATAGCCATATTCTCTCCAGAGTATATAAATTAAGTTTGATAAAAAGATTAAGTTCAACCACTAACCCCTCTCCTTCGTCCTGGTCGGTAGCACTGGCAACGTTTTTTACCGGGACGGCAAAAGCATGGTAGGGAAATGTTTAAGTGCCTTACAAGGTATCGCTCAAAACTTGTTCCAGCTGTTTTTTGTACATGAAGAAATACAATTACATCATTTTCCTCCATGTCAAACCTGCAAAACAGAAAGAAAACTGCATAGGCATACTTATGTCCAATAAAATAAAAAATTTTACAAAAAAGTATTTTCCATTCCAAGAAATGGAAAAATGAATTCCCCATCTTCAATAAAAATAACATTCTAAACCAAACAAATATTTTTCTTCTAATAAAAAAAACAAAGGAAGCAGAAGTAAAACAAAGCTCGAAGAAAAAAGAAAAAAAACACGCGTTTTTCAAAGTTTTCAACAGCGTTACCTGTTTTCGACATCCCCTAAGATACGATTGAATGAAACGCTGCGTCGAGCGTAAAATGCCGGCTTAAAATCCGTCAGGATACTATTTTTAAAAGCAAATTCACGCATTTGGTCCAAAGAAAATCTTGGAGTATAAAATGACGATAAGCCACCTAAAACGACTGGAAATGGCACTTAAACAAAAAAAAAATCTTTTGATAGGTTCAAGAGCGCTATTGAAAAAAAAATAGAGAAGCTTAAACGGTGATTAAAAAATAAATCCAAACGAAATAAATATCTAAAAAACTACACGAACAAAAAAGTCGGCTTTTTCACTGAGCAGATGAGACAAAATCTAAATTTTTTATGCTTTTCATCCAGAAATTCGAAAAAAATTGTCTCACGGCTATGAAACATTAATGTTTCGTATTCAGTTTCTTTTACTCAGATTTTCTTTGGCTTTTTTTTTATCAATTTATGCAGAAACAGTGAACAGAAAGCAGATTTCTTCTTTCTTTTCATATCAAAATAGTCCAGATTTTTGAACTGTAGACAAAAAAAAAGACATTATGTGGTCGATGTTCACAAATAGTGAAACATTCCGCTAAACTAATGTTGGCCGTTCAAAATAGTCAACTTTTTAAACCAAGCACAAGAAAAAAAAACGTCACAGTTTTTTTAGCAACTAAAAAATTACAACTTTAGCATAAAAACAATAAACATAACAATAACCAATAATTTAAAAATACCATAATCGCTGCTATCCAACGACCATTCCATTAAAAAATACGATAATGGTGCAACAAACAGGATAACCACCAGTAAACCGACTCGTTTCCATTCGTGAATAAAATCGTATGGATGGAATTCTCGGAAATCTGTCTTCATACTCAGTCCATATTCCAATCAACCCAGATAACCAGTAGGGCTTTTGAAAAAATCAGTCTATAGGAGAACAGGAAAAAACTTCGTCTTTCACTTCAAACTCAGACTTCGTTAACGTATCGCATTAATAGCGTCTGTATAGAGAAAAAAAAAATTTTTCAGGGAAAAAACTGAAACAAAATTACTGGTGGCTAAAACGATACAAATTGGTATGATAATACAAGAAAAGTACTGGAGAAGAATCCTTTCATTCATAACACTGAAACATAATACAGATTTTCAATTAAAACTTAAACGATTTTATGTTGCACTACCATCCACTATAAAAACAATTATTTCAAACAAAGTTTCTGATTTCATTACCACATTTCCACAGTTCACCTTTATACTTCAAGTCATTTGCTTTTTGTGCATTGATCTCCGTAAAACAATACAGAGGAAAACAGCGATCAATGGAAAAAGTTATCAGAAAACTGTTGTCGACTGTTGCTTCAATAAACCAGTATACAATAACTGACTGAATCAACAAGAATCTTTTTTCTTTACCGTCAAATCCGACAGAAAACTGTTTTATACATTCGATGAATTACTCTAAACTTCATTAGCAACAGCAAACACAACAACAACAACAGCAACAACAGTATTTCCATCGATCATCACACGTAATCATTTTAAATGCTTTATATCAAAATCTTCACGAATCACTGGTAAACGTAATAATTGTATAAAACCAAAATTAGATAGGTAATTTGCAATGCAAAAAGAAAAAAAAAATTCCATTGAAAGCAAAATAAAAGTTCAACGAGCAAATAATAAAACAAAAAAGAGCAAAAAGAAAAAAGAAATGAAACGAAAGAGGCAATAAAATACATCTATAAAATAGTTAAAAGTTCAGTCAATTAATGCTAAAAACTAAGCAGAAAAAAACGAACAAAGCTACCAAATCTGATACAACATTAAAGAATATATTTAAAAATATATCTATATTGTTAAAGAGTAAAAAAAAAAATGAATAATGATGTTAAAAACAATGAACGAATTTTATTGATAATATCATTGACCACCATCACTCCTCAGCCCGTCTCTCTCACGGCCGCAATTTCCGTCGTAACCAACATAACTGAAGGAGGTAAAATGCGGTTCTCTGTTATCCGATGAAATATGTATTAATGCAAATATAACAACAGCAACAACGGCTACCATCAATAAAACTAAGATATTTATAAAATCCCCAAAGAAACCTCTCTACACTCAACCAATATCAAACAATCATCCATCTATCTATCTATCTATCTATCTATCCATCTGTGCATTTCACCAGCAATTTACGCACCTATATTTCTCCTCTGTCAGTACAATTATATAAGTATCAAAATTAAAAAAACTCATAGTTGTAAAAAAACAATTAGATGAAGGTAAACTTTAAAAGAAAAAAATATGATACAGATCTGAGAACATTTATTTGGTGAGAACATTGAGAACATTGAAAAAAAAAAAAAATGAAATTATTTGACGACCACTATATTGAAAGTTGAAGCAAAACTTATTTTTTGCTTTTTTTTCTCCAAATTCAAAATTATTCTTTCATGTAGAATTTTATACTTTAATTGAAATCTTTCTTTTTCTTCCTCCCTTCCTCCCTATATTTCCAATTTTTTCCCTCTTCTTCGCCTGCGCAATAACGCACTAAATGAATGATTAAATGGATGAAAGCAAATATACCGCTGTGAGTAAAAGAAAACCAATTTAAGGAAAAAGAAAGCAGCAAAGATTTCCTCCTACAACATCGCAATGACCGACTAAATTGTTTAAAACAAATAAAAGGAGAAAAACAAGACGAAAAAAAATGACAAAGCAGAAAACTGTTTCGTTGATAGTTTTTCTTTTTGCACTTTTTTAGCCATCATCTTATAAATAGTTTTTGGAGGCTCTGCAAAAAGCAAATACAACAATTCTTCAAAAAAACATATTATAAACATCTGTAAAAAACAAAAAAAAAAAAGAAAAAAATTGAACAAACAAATAAACACGAAAAAAAAAAAACTACTGTGTATCAGCAAATTACAAAATTTATAAATAATAAATGAGAAGAAATAAAAAAAAAATGAAAAGATTAATAACTATAGTAGCTTGTTGTAGACAAACTGCAACAAGCCAAAATGATGCGACCTAAACCATTCATCCAATTTAAGTCACTGTCCTCATCGAGTAAAATAAACACAGTCATTGTCATAACCATCGTCACCCACTTCACAGTTTTGTAACAGGGAAGCCATTTTATTGCCCATCATAACTTTTGCGGAAAGTCAGATTCGAACTCCTCAGCGCACTTAAACACAGGCAACCAAAGAACATCGCGGATTAACCTATTGATACCATCATTTACGTATAATACACATTACACATGTGATACTGATATATACAGCCACCACCAACACTGAACACATACATAAAGACACCCGAACACACACACACACACACACACACACACACACACACACACACTCACACCACCACACACCCACACACACACACACACACACACACACAAACACACAAACATACACTCACACACGCGCAAACAAATGCAATCAGCGTGGGAGCCATAGCAAAATAACTGAACTGCAGCGACAAGCAAAGCGTATGCGTCCAGTCGACCACAGCAGCAACCAATGTATAACTGCAATTTCTGTGGCTGCAACAGCAATGACAACAGAAACGACAACGCTGCAAGGCCCCACCAGCAACAGCAGTAACAGAACACACGCGCCATAGGCCCGTCGGTTCCTCGAACTGCAAGTAACTGTTGTTAAACTGCAACAGACCTATTGAGTCTGTTGCAGTTTAACAACAGTTAAGCCATAAAAAACAGTTCTTTGCCGTTCTGTCATCGTTGCCGTTACTATTTCTGTTCACGGTAAATACTAATCGGTCAACAACTGCGTAGAAATATAGGTTTGCCGATTTGCCCCAGCAATACTGCAGTTGTTATTTGTGCTGTAATAATAATAGTGTTAAACACAATGGTACCACAGTCGCATCTGTGCAAATGCAGTCTACCGTTGGGATACCAAATGCATAGAATGCCGCACTATAAACCTAAATATATGTGTAATACAATATAGTATATGTATATATTATACATATATATATATATA